GTGGTGTGTGTGGGGGGGGGGGGGAGCAGAGAACTGCCCGTCCGCCCTCCGCGCGCGCGGCGCCCCGCGCCGCTGCCTCCCCCGCCGGCGGGGAGGCCGCTCCGCCTGGCTGGGCGCGCACCGAGGGGCGGCATCCAGCGCTGCCTGTCAGCGGCGGAGCGCCTCGCCTGCTCCGGAAGGAGCCGCGGCCGTCGCCGGGCCCTGCCGGCCCTCCCCGCCCCGCCGGCAGCGGGAGCCGCGGCCGCGCTGGCGCCGGGGCCGCAGCGGCGCTCGCTCGTTCCGGCGGAGGGAGCGGCGGGGCGGGCGGGGCGTTTGGGGGGGGAACCGTGACTGACAGCGGCGGCGACCAATGAGGGAGCGCAGGGGCCGTGAGTGGCGGCGGCGGCGGCCAATGGGAGTGCGCGGGGGGCGGGCGCGGGAGGCCGCGGGACGGGCGCATGCAGGGGATAAACAGAGGGAATTGGGGCGGGGGGCGGTGGGGTCGGGATTGCGGTCTGGATCGGGATCTGGACCGGCAATCTTTCCAGAACCGGGCTGGGTGCTGGTGGGGCCACTGCCTCGGTTCGGCTGCCGCAGGGATGAACGCCTGCGCTTGACTGCGGAACGGGAGCGGGCGATGGGGGAGCTCCCGCACCCCCACGGCCTGTCGTCGCGTTCGCTTCCTCATCCAGAATTTTATGGACAGCGATAAGCCTGGGATCAGACAAGGCTTTAGAAAAGGATATAGCTATGCACCTGTCTCTGTCTTGATGGTGAAGACATATTTTATCGGCGGTTTTTCCACAAACATTTAAAATTCATGTGAAACCTGCTAGGTTATAGTCCTAGGTTGGCCTCGATGATCTCAGAGGTCTTCTGCAACCTGACTGATTCTGTAATTGTCATACTTTACTTTTTGTAATATATATAAAAAAATATTCAAAACAAATACAGTAAACCAAAGGGTTTGTTGGTTTTTCTAGGTAGGTTTTTTGTTTGTTTATTTTTGTTTATATTTTTAATTTATTTTTAAATATAGCTCTCTGTGTTTCCACAAATGCATAGAAAATTGTATGGCTGAAAATATAACTTCACGGACGGGTATTTGCTTTGTAACTAGAGTTGCAGGTCATCTGTTTTCTCATTTGATTTTTGGGGCTTATTTTCTTAATCTAGATTTCACCACAGTGGGTAACTAATTCAAAATTCAAGGGATTAAGAAATACCTGTGGTATTTGTCTGGCTTAAATACAAAGATGTGCAAGTGTTGACTGGTAATTGTATTGTATCTCGCATTTTTTTTTTTTTTCATTCTAGAGCAGGTCTTGTAATTGGGAATTTATCAACATTTCCACTGGGGTAATTTTACAGGATTATCCGCCCTCTGTTCTTCCTGCTGGTTCATCTGGACTCTGTGGAGTTTGCTGCTAGCAATGGAGCCTTCTGTGGGGGTTTATTCATGCTATTACTGAAATGGAGCCCTCCGCGTTTGGATTAACTCTTTGTTTGCTTTTCACCCGAACCGCTTGGATCGGCCCATGTGTAAAAAGGATACTGCCGTGCATCCCTTTTCTGTTTGCATTTTGAACTCTGAGTGCAGTCTCGATGTCTTCAGGCTGTTTACTGTGCTTGAATTTTAGAGGAAGAACTGAAATGTAAAGATAGATGTGACTGTAATACTGCACGGGCAGGTAAATACTTCGGACGTTTCACTTTATGAGGACTTGAAAACATGTTGTGAAGGGGTCACAAATTGAGTGAGCACGATACCTTTCAAGGTAAAAATCATTAAGATAGGGCTGTAACTAGATCTGAGGAAGACATTCTTTTAAGCAAGTGCAGTGTTCATGATGGAAACCAGTGACTTTAAAATGGGGTCAAATATTCCCACGATTGAGCAAACTAAAAATCCTTTCCCAACAGATGAACAGAAGCATCTATTTTTTTAAAAAGCATGGCAGTAAAATAAAAATGGCCCTGTTAATATATCACCAAATAACTTAAGTATTTTTGCTGGTTTATTGTACCATACTGTTTGGGTCACCACAGTGTCTTAAGAGCCCAGGTGGAGAACCAGAATTCCACCTTCCGGTTGTGCAGCCCTTGTTGCACAGGCCCCAGTCATGTTTGCCAGCAGACTTTTGAGTTTTAATTTATTTTCTGGTTTTGTCCTGCCATTTTGGCTGTACATTGTGCATGTGCAGTCTGACCATTATACCCCTGTCCCAAATGGGGCTGCATTAAGCAAAGATTCTACACAGAATCTTTAGGAATGAGGATGCCTTTCAGTCTTCGGAATTGAAACAATTTACAAGAATTGACACTTATTTCCATTGAGGTTTTATTGCCAGGAGATGCATTTAGTATTAAAGGTTACAGTTGTGTATGATGGGCTTTAAAAAGTTACCAGTGACCTTAAACACCACAAGAATATTCTCGACAGGCCCTACCACTGGATTTTAGCCCTAGTGACACGAGACAGACCCTTGTCCTATTGCGTGCAATGTATCTGGGATTTTTTAGTCCACATATTTAGATTTTACACTATTTTTGGTGTCAAAATACTGACATTAGTGAATCCAGTCTAAATTTAGACTTCTTTGTGGTGTAATTTTGAAAACTTTGTGCATAAATTGCTCAATCTGAGTCACTGAGTCACTTTCATCTGTCTTATTCCTTCTAAAGTGTTGGTGCTTCACACTTGGAAGTGTGATTATTGTACAGTGCCCTGCAAGATTATTAGCATTGTATTAAGTGACATAATTTATGTTCCTACATTGAAATTGGGTTGTAGAAGTCCACTAAACAAGGCCATCTTGGCATAAGCTTTGGGACCTGCACTCACAATTTCTACACTGAGCTATTTCTGCAGTTCAAGTCTTGAAGAGTTTACAAATGCTTAGACAGGTCCCATAGAAAAAGCTGTTTAAATGCTTAGCGTGTAGTTTTAGTTACTAATTACACCTCCAAGATGGTGCTTATTTGGAAAGAAAAATGTTGGCAGCAACTAAATTTTTCCTTTTGTAAGGCTGCAACATGAATCCTTTTGTTAGTGCCTCAGAGGCCTTTTTGCAAGGGGATAAATCAAATAGGAACTAGGAGCAGTAAATATATACAATTGTTTATTTTAGAGCTAAAATGCTTGCTCTTAGGATTCCAGTTTGTGCTATAATGGAGGAGATTGATTTGATTTAGATTTTTTTAGACTGGGAAGGCTTTTAGTTGTGCTGTGGAGGCTGCCAACTAGACATTATGATCACTGCCTGGATATTTGGATGGCTCTCCTGTGTGTCTTAGTTCATGTTCCTGGTATGCAACCTTTTTTTCTGCAAGTGAAGTGACTCCCTACCTGAAGACCTTCCTAAAGTTTTTGTGCCATTTTTGAATGCCAGGATCTCCAAGGCCTCCTTTGAACTTCCCCCTTTCCTTAGCAAGGGTGCAGCACCTTGCCATGGTTAGGAGACTGTAAATATGTCGTAATCTGTTATCCTATCTGTTACAAATAATACGTGCAGCTTTATTTCTTGAGCTGTTTTGGAGTATATTGATGGGTAAGATGTGGCTCCTGCAGGTTGATCTGACTTAAGTGGTGCTCCACAAAAGTATCTCTGCATAGATCTGTTTGCAGAGGCAGGGATCAGAAAAAAAACTCCCAAGCACCGGCTGTGCTCCAGAGACAGATCATTTCATATGTTTTTTAGAACAAAACCAATGCTGAACCAGCACCTACAAAACAGGAAGGCTTGAAAAACTAAACTGAAACACCACCAGGAGTGAGCATGCATCATCTGATGTGTACCACCTGTCAGAGCAAGGAAATGGCATCATAACAGCTAAATAATAAGACGTATTAAGTCGTTTTGTGCCAAACTCTGACCATTAACACTTTTAAATATTCTTTTAAACGAGTTTTAACAGTTTTCACCCAACAGAGTAAAGGTCGTGTGGACTAAGAAGAGTTTCAGTGCTGCCTTAATCACAGTTCCTCTGTAAAAAGAGTACTTTGAGGGAAGAGAGTTTTTAGGAACAAGTGATCTGTGTGAAGAATAATTAAGATTAGGAAGGATTCCTGCTTTGATGAGGAACGTTATTTAATATCCACCTCAGGAACTGATCCTGCAGCAATGGTTGTGCTCTCTGTGCAGGGAACAAGATCACCCCATGGTTTCTTCTGGTGAAGTGTGTCAGGACTTTTCTCCAGTGGCAGAATTTGGAAAGCAGCTTCTTTGGTTGCTCTCATAATCTGTGTCAGTACCACTGCTGTCAGAATGATGCTGAAAACCACCCAGTGACGTGGCTGGAGTGATGATACTTTATTATTTAAAGAAAAAACCAAACCCACAGCCTATAAACCTCACTTTCTTAGCTGGGTATCTTTACTGGCTTTCACCATTGTCTAACAAACAGCTGCATCAACACAACAGAGGGAGGTGCTGAGGTGGAACATGGGACAGGAAAGAAATCTTGAGTTGGCTTTGCTGCACAAGAGCGTGGTTGTGGAACAACATTTTCAGGCTTGTTGGTTAAATTTGAAGTGAAAACAATCTGTGAATAGTTTGGTTGCTTCTGTCAGGATGTGGCTAGATGGGTAGAGCATAAACTGTGTGATGAGTTCTGTAACATCCTGAACTTCAGTTAGTTTAGCAACTCTAGCAAGCAATTAGATGTCTAGAACTTCTGTTGTAGGAAGGCAAAGATTCTTTGATTTAGATACTGGCATCTCTTGTCAAGCTCTAGTTCAGTTCTAGAGCAGGGATGCTGAAAATTAACTCATGTCCAAACTTCATTTGAAGTAGCTGAGTTACCTCTTACTCCTTAGTTCTACTGTGAGACTAAAAAATAGTGTTTTGTGTGGTGACTTCATGTTTTCAGCCATGAAACAACAGAAATGTGGTAAGCAATTTGCAGACATGAAGGAAAATGTGGTAAGGAACATGGTGGTGAATGTGCCAGTAGCTAGAATAGCTTACTGAGGAGGACCAAGGAAAGAAATTTTGCACTGAGTAGTCCAAACAAGAATCAGTGTTCCATGTATCGTGAAGAATCATAACTAAACTATCAAAGATGATTGTCTGGACACACCCAGTGCAGGGTGAGTTGGTATTATATTAACATACTGGACTGTAAAATGATTTCTCAGCTTTCTGAAGACATGGAGGTAAAGCTTTTAAGCTCTGGTCTTACTGCCTGTGTTTTTAAAACTTGAAGCTAAATGTTTTACAACAGAACTCTTCCTTTTATAGCTGATCTTTTAGGTTCCATCTTACTCGTGCAGTATGCAATTATGTAATGCAAGTAAATTCTTAAAGTAATTAGTGAACCTGACATCTCTTAATGTATTGGCATTTCAGAATAGCCGAAAATAGAATGTGCAAGAAGCTGAATGCTGTGTAGTACTCATTAGTTAGCCAACATGTTTATAGGAATACCAGTTAAGGTCAGCCTTTGCTTTGCAATTTGGTTTTGTGTTAGTGTTTGTTTTGTACACAGCGGCCTTTTACTATAGGCATAATTACATACAATTGCTGATAATTAAGAACTATTCGAATCATCTGGACCATGTCTCTGCTACACTGAAAACACTTGGACATCAAATTTCTAATAATTAGATGTTGTGCATGGTATGGGGTGGGAATTTGAGGTTTTTTTACCATGATTCTGATAACACAGATCTGTCTTGTAGGTCTGACTGGAGGATGGAGCAGTCAAGGGCCTCTGTGCTGAATTGTGCCATTTGTATTCTGACCATTTTAACCAGCTTTGGAACCCAAATTGGTCCTTGTGGCAACTGAACATGGAAGTGACAGTTGCTTCTTTGCACTGGTTCTTTACACCATCCAAGGTTTAGAGGATTCCATGTACACCAGTAAAATACCAGGCTGCTCATCTCTAGGAAATTGTGATAGGTAGGGGTTGGGTAGGAGAAGTAAAAGTTTGGAAAATGACATCTGCCATAGCCCTGCCACACAGCTTGGAACCAGCCAGTTTGCGTTTCCATGAACAAGTAGTTATGAGGGACAAAGTAACCTTAATTAAATTTGGAATACCTGCAGGTTAAAATTTAGCACACTCCGACTGAGTTTTGGACTTAACCAAATTTAAAGCCTGTTCTAGTCACTGCTCTCTAGTCTAAGCGAGTCTGCCTGATTTGAAGGCAGCCAGTAAATCCTTGGACATTTATGGCCTGATTGATCTGAACCGGGATGGTTTGCTTAAGTTTCAGCGGCATTGCCTCATGTTAGTCAGCTTTGGCTAGATTAAGGTTTTTGCAGCACTTTTACAGCTTTATAGATTTTTGAAAGAGCATTAAAGCATTTGTTAACTTCTGAATTTTCTCTAGGAGAACTTATATGTGCAAATTCAAATAACTTGTCTGATTGGTAATATTCCAGATCTACTCACATGAACTAATGGCTATTGACCTAATCAGTATCTTGAATTTATTATTACTTAGTTGTCATGGACGTTCACATCCCACTGCATTATCTTCAGTCTGAAAAAGAGGAAGGGTAACTTGTGGTTTTGCATTGGCAGTCATGTAAAATTATAGTTTTAGAAGTCCTCAAAATATGATGGAGAGAAGCATTATGTCCCTGATGAGGCCATTAAATCTTAATATGCTCACAGCTGCTAAAATGTGATCCTAGCAAGTGAAAAAGCACTTGGAATGAATCAACTGACTTAGTGTTGA